AATTAGTAAGTTTTCAAAGCTACAAAGAATTTTGAAGACTTCATGTTCATCTCTACAGATGACCAAGTCAGAGGAAGTAGGAAGTGTTTAGGTTAGACACAAAAATAAACTTCCTGACTCTAAGGGCTTAATATACCAAGTTAATATGGGAAAATGCAGAATCATTTCCTGGTGACTATTAGGGTTCCTGGATAATATGGAAGTAACCTCATCTGGAGCTGGTGTAATCTCTGAAGTTCCTTCCAATGCAACTGATCTATACAGATAAAACATTTAATTATTACCAAATGACAATGAATAATTTTTTATACTACTTTAGAATTACATTATTTCTTATTACTTCTCTCCCTTGCTTGCTCATGGTAGCAAAGCATCTTGTCCAGTACTGGTAACGTAACATGTACTTAACAAATACTTGTTAAACGACTGAGTCCTCAAATTCACAAGTCATCAGAACCATCACAAACTTTCCTTTCCCATCAGAATAGTCTAAAAGCTTTTCAGTCACAGGCTCACATTATTAATGAACACCACTTTGTCCAAAAATGTACATTTTTTCCTGCCTTTGTTATCTTAAACTGATATTCTCACACACACACACACACAATCACTAATTAGGGAGACTAGCTGAATTGAATCAATCAATGCCACATTCTTCTTTGCCTATAACAAAAACCACTCTGTCTTACATCCTGGCACTGCAAAGGCTCCAGTACAATCCCTGGAAGGAGAACAAAATCATTGTGGCATAGTAAGTACAGAGGACGGATTTCCTCCTCCGAACTGAGATAAATAAATAAGTGAACACCAAAGTCAAGTCATGCACTATGGCAGAGAAAACAGCAGACTTTCAAGATGAATAATATGTAAGAGCTCTGTGCTACAGGCATGCAACAATAAAGGTTGAGAAGAAATATGGAAATAGACCTCGTGTAGCAAACTGGGGATTGTGGACAGAAACCAAGTAAGGTAAAGACCTCTTCTAATTGTCAATTCACAGATCTCAGGTATAGGGGTCCAAAGGAAGCAAAAATACACGTGAATACTGAAATAAAGTATGTGATGAAAGCCAAAAATGAATAAGCCATTAAGTGTGTTTTAAACAAGTGAAACTTGTTTCCCATCTCTTGCATCTCCCTTCTTTCCACTCCCAGCAGTACTACACTAACTTAGTGTGCTGCTGACCTAGACTACTGCAATAGCTTACTAACTGGGGGTCTCTTCCCACTCCTGTCCTTGGTCCACAGAGCAGCCTAAACAACGTTCCTGAAGCAAAGTTATGACCACGCCACTCTGCTCACAAAGCCCCCTGCTGCCTCTAGAGCCAAATACAAACTTCTCCAGTAAGCACTCAAGAAGCTTCACACCGTGGCTACAGCCTGCCTCCCAGGCTTATTACATAACCTTCCTCTTCACTTCAGGCCAAAATAGCCTTCTTGCTGTTGCTCACACACTCAGTTAGGCTGGTCCTCAGAGAAAAGCTAGCCAGTGCATCATTGGGCCAACACTCACAGCCTTTCAAATTTGGCAAGGCCTAGCTTTAGTGGTGCTCCTCTAAAAGAATCCTTGAAATCCTAGGGTCACCTCCATTCTGGGATAAAACATCAGAACAGAACTTCAGGGAAGAGTAAGAAGACAACGCCATTAATTCTCCAATATCTTTTTTTTTAATTTTTATTTTTTGTTACATTTTAAGTTCCGAACCGTCTCCTTCCCTCCCTCCCCACCCAACACTACAGAAGGCCACCATCTGACACAGATACGCACATACATACACACACACGTGTATACACATATATGTACACACACATATATATATGTGTAAAACCATACTACGCACACCCCCACTTATCAATTCTTTCTCTAGAGGTGAACAGCACCTTCCTGCACAGGTCCTTTGAAGTCGATCCTATCTTCTTTAATAATTCCTCAGTAATACTTAGTAAGCGTCCACTATACAAATGACTACACACCAACTCTCAAATATACAGAACTAATACATTCAGCAGACATCTCCTGAAGACTCACACTCACAGAAGAAAAATCACCAATAAAGACTTGCTAAATTCAATTAACAGAATGGAAATTTGAAGGTTCATTACTTCTACGAAAAAAAAAATCCATATGTCAAACTCAGGAGGAAGCCCTGCAAAGACAAAAGATGCCACACTGAGTAGGCCACTACCAAAATGAACCTTCCGGGACAGCTAGGTGGCACAGTGGATAGAGCTCCAGTCTTGGAGTCATGAGCATCTGAGTTCATATTCAGCCTCAGACACTTGACACTTACTAGCTGTGTGACCTTGGGCAAGTCACTTAGCTCCAATTATCTCACCAAAAAAGCAAAAAAAAAAAAAAAAAGTTACAAGGAGGCAAATTTAGGGGCAGCTAGGTGAAGCAGTGGATAGAGCACCAGCCCTGGAGTCTTCCTGGAGTCAGGAGGACCTGAGTACAAATGGAGCCTCAGACACTTGACACTTACTAGTTCTGTGACCCTAGGCAAGTCATTTAATCCCATTGCCTAGCAAAAAATAAAAACAAACAAACAAACAAATAAAATGCACCTTCCATTTAAAAGTAGGAGTCAAAAGAAAAATAGGGACTAATAAACATAATTTCACTATGTAGCCAATTCCACTTATTAAAGCCATGCCTTTATGAGAAGAAAATCATAGAAAAGAAAATAAGATTTCAGCGTGCAAGGAATTTTAGAAAATCTAAGGAAGCAATAAGGAAAGCTTAAGTATAAGTAATTGTATGTATGTTTGTCTACATCTGGCCAGAAAGGGACAAAAATATAATACATATTTCATAAAAAATGCATATAGTACTTGTCCGTTCATTCAACGATTATATATTGTGTTTACTGCATTCCAAGAAATATATTATGTACTTTGGGGGAAACAAAAAAAATTAAGGTACCTCTTCCCAAGATACTAATAACACAACACAGGGTTTTGTTTTGTTTTGTTTTGTTTTTAATATATAAGGTTAGGCACTACAATCAGGAGCACTAGTATGGAAAAACTTGATAAGGTGAATTAGTCTTAAGCACTGTTTAGAAGTGGAAGAGGTCTGTGGTTTGGCAGAAGAGTGTAGATATTCCTGGCAAGGGGAATGACATTTGTATTGTTTAAGAGATAGGCAAGGTATGTGCACAGAATAAGTATGTTAGTTTGGCTAAAATGGAAAGTGTAAATGAAGGTGTATCACATGATCAGGGAATGAAAAGTGGGGGGAGGGAGGAGAGAAGAGAGAGGGAAACTGGTACTAAGTTTAGAGAGATCCTGACTTCTAAGAAGCAACACAGAGAATGTGTACAAGCTCACCAGTCTTTCCCAGTAGAGCTAAGTTTCTCGTTCAACATGACCCTTCCATTCAGAGATTTCTCCGGTCTTTAAATTTCCCTAAAAAGGTTCTTTTATTACTTTTCATGGTAAGACCCAGGCTTCCCTCTGGTAAGGAGAGGTTGATGTAGTTGGTATTTTGCTAGAATTCAGTAATTCTCTGTATAAACCAGCCCTGATGGCATCTGTCCACAAAGCTGAAGGCACTCAATTAGATGAAACTTAGGGCTTTACTCATTTTTTGTTTTGGCTTGACTTGTATGGGAAAGCATAATCCAGAACTATACAATCTATTAGTGGCTTAATTCTACCAGTTTCATGCAGAACTGTCCAATTAATCCACTATTTCTACTCCAATTTGTGTCATGATTAATTAACTTTTAAGGTCATAAGGATTTATAAACAAAGGATAGAGGGAAAACTACATTTCTAGAACAAGAGGTAATAAAGCAAGATATTTAAATGAAATGTCTCTAAGGAATGCTCCTAGAAGATACTTAGCAGCTCTGACTTCACACTTATAAACTCTGAGTGTCAGTTGCCATGATTTCCAGACACAGTTCTACAGAAATCTGGCATCTGCAACCTTCATTTGAACCTAAAGTATGAACACTTGCAGGTGTAGAGAGAGATGGACTTGGAATCACTTGCAATATTTAAAAAAAGTCAAGACAGTAGGGAAATTCTTCTAGTTTCCCTGCATCCTCAAGACGTTCCCAGGTGTCTTGTGTAGTTTTTTTGGCCAGGATATAACAATTCTTTGTCCGAAATGGAAAACATTAACTACAGCGACACAAACTAGTTCCATCCAGGTGCACCAGTAACTTACTTCAAATGCAAGCTTTATGAAATTGAAAAGGGCTTCTGGCAAACTCATTTCAGAATCCAGGAAATCTTATCCAACCACAACCATTCCACCTTGCATCTGCATGAGTAGAACCCAGGGAAGCTACCAGGCTAAATGAGCTGATGACCCACGTGGAAGGCAACCACTTCCTATTTTTGGTGCTTCCTTTTCTGCCATCACTCCAAAGCCTTGGGAAGTGCTTCAGTAACTTCTCAGTTGGAAAGCTCCCTAACTTTCACAGCACTGGAACCTTTTCCCTAGGATTAAGCTCTTTGAGGTCTGTTCCCTTCCTCCAGTCTGTTTTTCCCTCCTCCAAAATCTAAATAAATAACTAGGTTTCTTAGAATTCAGAAATTAATGTCAAATTTAGGGTCAAGTAATACATAGCTGACAACAACAGTACTTAAAATTTAATGTCTATAATAACGAAAAAACACCAATCATCAGTACTAGCAACTCCTAGTAGGAACAGAAAATACAGCAAAACTCTGCTTTAGCAAAAACTCATCAGTTGTATGTCTCATTATAAGATACTAAAAGGTTCTAATATTAGTAAAAAGAAAACACGTAATTAGCCAAACAACAAATACACAGTATTCCAACTGAAGAGACCCCAACAATGCACCAAAGTTTGGACAGACTTAAAAGGGGCTCAGAAAATTCAACTATTAAAACCAAGGTTTAACAACTTGGGAGCAACTAATGGCAGAGTTAGTTGGAACAGCTCTCAAAGTAACCAGACTGCCGATTAAAACATTAGGAATGTGCTGCTGGTGAAATGGAACAGGAGCAATTCAAACACTTACTTTGAGAGCACAAAAGATGCAGGAGTCTCCCATGCACTTGTGTGTAGTGAGTTGTCTAAAGCTGCGACGGAAGATGTCCAAGTGCCATAGAACCTGACAAAAGTGGGAAAGCATTTCATCATTCTGCACAAAAAACTGTGACTTAATACTCTATTCTATGAAGAATAAAATCAACGTATATCATAATGGAGAAGTCACTTTGGGAAGGAGGGAAAAGCAGAAGCTAGTGCATCAGAGAAACATCAAAAGAGACAGGAAAGTTAGCAAGAAGGGCACATATGTGGCAAAAGGGAAACAATATTGTGTTTAAAAGGAAAAAAAACATGAGAAGCATACATGGGCATGATAGTCTAAAAAGTAAATGTAGGGAAGGAAATTTGGGCTGTGACGGTTCAGTATGCTAAAAGGTGCAGTAAGTACAAACAATTTTTAAGTTATCTCATGAGCTCAATATGATGGGCTACATTTGGAACAGAGTATAGAACACTACCATTCAGAATCTAATATAGAGTGAGTTTTGTATTAGGACTACCAATTTTTGTTTGCTTGCCTTTTAGAAAACTCTGTGGCTACAGAAAGTAAAGAGACTTAAGAGGTCATACTATTTTCTAAAGAATGTAGAAAATAGGGGTTGAAATCCCTAAAGAGCAACATCTTAGAAGCCTCCCCCTATGTATAGCATGTGTAGCAACATGAAACAGTATTAAAGGGCAGAAAGGATTCTTGAGCTCTCAAAGATTTCTATAGTTTCTAGTTCTTTAAAACTTGAAATGCTGAAATATACCAAGGCCAATGACACTTCACAATGGGATTTAATATACTACTTTTCATATCATAAATTAAAAATAATAAACCATACAAATGATAAATTTCAATCTGTAGAATTTTAACTGTTTTTTTTAACATTTTAAAAATTGGAACTGAGATTTCATTGGTGTGAAAAAAAACTCCAAGCGAGGAAACTCCTTTTACCAAGGGAGCTTTACCTCCTCTGCAGTGTCTGGTTTGAGAGCTGCCTGGGTCACTGAGAAGGAAAGGGATGTGTCCAGGGCAAACCACAGAACAGAATGTTCTGGGGCAGTACTAGCCCTCAGAGTCTCGATTCTGAAGACAGCTCTCAGTCTAATACACAACACAGCACAAAGGGCAGTTAGGAGAGATTCCTACCCCAATTCTTGAGTGCATTCTTCTTTAAGAATAAAGCATATAGCCCTGCCATCTTTATAAACTGCAAAACATTGTTATTCTTAGGACAGGAAGTCAAAAATACTACTTTATCTGAGACGTAGGGAGAATGTACAGAGGCTAAATTAATTACTTAAATAGGCCTACAGCCAAGAAATAGAAGTACAAAAACTTGCTTCAAGTGATCATACTGCCTGCTTTAATGCTTATACCATACATGGTCAGATACTCAAAAAGATATATTCAGACACTGTCAAATCTCATCTGAAATGGAGCCAACGGGACTTGTCCATCAGTCAAAAAGCATATATTATGTCTTTACTCTGACAGGCACTGTGCTAAATGGTAGAGATACAAAGGCAAAAGAGTCTCTGCCCTCATGGAGCTCACAATCTAATGGGGGAGACAAGATGTAAATAAATAGGTGAACACAAGATCCATACAGTGCAGATATTAAGTATTCTAAGAGGAAAAGGCAGTAGCAGCTAGAGGACCTGGAAAAGTCTCCAAGAGAAGGTTAAGTTCAGGAAAGTGCTTAAAGCAAGAATCTCTCTACATTTACCCCTCAGGGACCTTAAAATGTTTCTTTTCTATCTAAGGACTTGAGCATCTGTGATTTCATAAAACTAGAGAATTTGAGAACTGGAAGGAACTGTAGAACTTATGGTGATCCTACCACCTTGTTTAACAAATGAGGAAGAGAAGGTCCTTAGAGACCAGAAGACTGGCCCACAGGGGCACAGCCAGGGTTAGAACTCAGGGACCTTAAGTCCCTGTTCAACGCTCTTTCTACCATAACATGCTGCTTTTCTTTTCCTCATAGTATTTTACTTGTTTAATTGCTAAGGTATTAGTGAATGAGGCATTAATCTCCAAGGTGCACAGCATTAAGTTTCATTCAGGTCCTTTCACTTTGTACAAATGAAAAGAATTACGAGGTAAAAAATAGCTGCTGGGGGGGGCAGGGTGACCCTAAAACCCGGTGGCCTCCTTAGCCAGAGCAATCTCAACATATGACAGTCCCAAGAAAGGTGGGGATGGCAAGAAGTACCCAAAAAGAATAATAGAGAATTCACTTTTTAACAGTGCTGTTCAGGCACGATTGACCAGATGTTGTTTATGAGCCAACATAAGAAAAAATGCTAAGACAGAGAGGAAAAGGATGGAACTGAACATAATAAAAGCTGTATATACTGACAGCATAAATATCATAAGGCTGCTACAATTCATTAAAAAATCTTTGACTTGACTGGAAAGATTTTTTACTTCTAAAAGAGAAAGGTGATTTTGTCAATAAGAGAACTTTGTTTCAAGTGAAGAAAATCAGAGACTTTCACTTTTAAGAAAAATGTTAGAATATGTTGACAGATTTTTATTTTCTTAGTCAAGAGAACCAAACTAAAAAATCAAAATTGTAGCTCTCAATGCAACAAGGAATTTTAAGAGCTCCTCTGGTCCCCATTCCTAAGTCCCTTCATGCATGGAAAGTGTTATTTTCATTACACTAATTAGGCAACTGAGGCCCAGAGAAGTGAAGGGACTTGCCCAGGACTGTGGCTTCTGAGACACAGAGGAATCCTCACAGTTCTACATTGGTATGAGTCAACAGAAATACAACAGTAGCAATTTGAAATCAGAGTATGATAGGAAGAAAAAAAAAGAGGAAAAAAAACCATTTCAAGACTTCTTACCTGCAGGGCACTATTGAGGAAGCAACTGTTTTGTCCAGGCTCATTACTGAGACCTTTACTAGGAGCTATGGAAGTTGTGCTCCGTGGGGCAAACATCCCCTGCACACTTCCCCGTCCTACAGAAAAATAATTCCTTTTCCAAGACATTGTTCACAGTTAGCCCCAAATACAGAGGGGGTCTTTATCGGTTTGAGTCTCCTGTTGCTTAAGTGCTCAACAGAAATGGAGGTGCAGAGCAGTCAATTTTTGTAGTAAAAGTTTGAGCTGGTACCTCCCCACAATGGGCCAAAGTATTTCTCCAGGTCCAGATGAAAAAACCGTCATTCAACTGTTCCCAAAAGTAGCAAAATTCTAACATTCAAACAGGAGGGATGCAAACAGTGGGGATCCATGTTCATCTGCAAGTTGTTGTTCTATTCAGTACTTTCACTAAAGTGGCAGCAACTCCACAAAACCCTTGTGAAAAACTGTAATTCTCAATTCCAGAAACATCCAGGATCAGTAAGGGACACTTTTCTTGGGACTGAAGACAAAAATCCAACTAGGAAAAGGCAGACAAACCGGAGTAAAATGAAGCTCTCTGGGGCTATAGTTGACTGTTCCATCATCTAGTGGCTTGAAAAGAACAACTCCAATTCCGACAGAAGGGCAAAAAGATTCCACAACAACCCTGGAAGGAGATATGCATTGTGCTTTGTTTTCACTTTGCCAAAAATTCTTCTAGTCACCCATCCAGAACATCAGAGAGCTCTGTCTCCTCTTTTCTTCTGTGACTGGAATAGCCAGCCCTGCCAGAGTGCTTTAGAAAGGAAAAAAAAAAATAATAAAAGCTTACATCACTTAATGACTGTGCTGGCTTAGCTATGTTCTGCCAAAACCAATGTTGCCTCACCTCTCACTACAAACTTGAAACCTTGACATAAAAAAAAAAGTCAAACAAGGAGAAGGAAAAAAAGGTGTGGGGCATGAGTCCTGGGAAACTTCTCTGAAATTTGTTTGAAAGGGGTTACAGACAGAAGTTGATTTTAAAAGAAGCAAAAACAAATACACAATTTTTCAGGATCAAGCAAAATTGAGGAAGCATACACCCAACCTAGACCTTAAACAGTTTCTGATACCTCTCTGACACAGAGTTTACAAGTATATGTATAAGTAAATGCATTCTATATAATACACATATGTTATGTAAATAAGTATGAAAACTTAATTTAGAGTCTGGGAAGGACAAGTCATCAATCTGGAATTTGTTCTAAACAAAGGTATCACATATGTGAGAGATATCACAGGCATATGACCATCCCAGTTTATCAAAAACAAGACTCCTATATTCTCTGCCAGGGGAACAGGGAAGATTAAAAACACAAATCCTTCATCATCAGGTGACAAAGCTCATGCTCAGAAAGGAATCAAGCATCTCTTTTTTTTAAAGTCAACCATGAAAAGGAAGCACCCAATGCCAATATGAAGTCTTAGAAATATGTATGTTAAACAGTATTGTGAAGAACAAAAAGCATCTTCTGTGAGCATTGTTATATCACTCTTACTTCCAAAATACAAAAAGCTAACAGCTTTAGAGAGTGAGAAACATACACTTTTGCACAAGAACCACCCAGAATAAAAAGATATAACCTACAATGGTGAAAGGAGAACCCACACCAAGGAAATGTCTTTGAAAAGGAGTCATACACACACTTCAAGTACTAAAGAGCTGTAGTTTCATCAATGTGGAAACTCCCTTCCACTGACACACACAGCCATTCTCTAGGCCTTAGATCAAGATTTTCACTACTTGCTTCACTGACATTCCTTCAGCCAATAGCTAACCTTCTGGTGATAAACCCCTCCAAACAATCGAGACTGACTCTCAGATGACACACAGGCTGGCTCATACTGAAGCCTCATCATCTGAAGAGGAATTGTTTTGAACTTGTGTCTGTTGTAACAGCCTTTGAGATCTCCAGGCCATGACAAGATCTTTGGGGTAGGGCTTTAGTGATGGATATAACACAGAGTGCAAGTTTATATGTGTATGTAAGAAATGCTGAAAGGTTTTGTATCGAAGGTGAGTTTGGAGCCAGGTTTAAAAGGAGAGGGACTGATTTAAAAAAAGAAGGCAGGAGATCATCCTGAAGGAAAAGTCTTTTAAACAGTCAACTCACAATCCAAAAATAAAGGGAAAAATAATTTTAAAGCTAACCAACAGAGTAGGGAATAAGAAAATAGAAATGCCTTAAGGCACTGCTAAAGACACCATTTAATAAAGTAATAATTTCATATTCATCGCTATAGTGTCTCTGCTATTTTAGCTGTGCAAAGTGCTACCCATATTTCAACACAGGTAATACAAAAAAAAGAGAGATGAGAAAATGTCTTGTTAATTGACCAAAATGCATCCCGAATATCAAGTGTCTCATAGGCAGTAAGACCTCCATAAGGATGGGAACAGAAAATTTTAAAATATACCAAAGAGCAGTGTTATTCTAGGAACAGTCATAATATTTATTTCTCGTATCTCACTGTCTGCTTGGAGTTACGCTTGTTTTATACACATTTGTACATATCTTTCCCTCTCCTATTTGACTATACCCTGTATGAGGACAGAGTATTATCATCTTTTACTTTGGTATTCCTGGTACGTAATCCTTATCCAGCACAGTGCTGCTAAGCCTTAATAAATATTTGTTGAAATGAACTGAATTGATTCCGCTGCTCAACCTCACCTTTGGCCTAACAAGAATGCCAATGAGGGAGCAAAGGCGAGGAACTCTAAAGTAACGACGTTTCTGGAAGAAGATAACCACAATCTCCTCCTTCCTTTCAAGGTTTACCCAAAAAAATTGTCTTGTCCAAACATGACAAAATTACAAATAACAAGTGCTAAGTTTCATTTTGACCAAAAACTACCTCTGTCTGGGAGGCAGATCTTGTTCAAACATGATAAAATTACAAATACAAGTGCTATGTTTCATTGTGACCAAAAATTATCTCTGTCTGGGAGGCAGGTACAATTTCAAGTGTCCATTTTCAAAAATCTGAAACTTTCTCTCTCTCTCTCTCTCTCTCTCTCTCACACACACACACACACACACACACACACACACACACACAGAGACAGAGACAGACAGAGTCCACCTAAGCAACAAAGTGAAGAAAATGAACGCAGTGGCAGGAAAAGAGTCAAAGGGTTGTTACAAAGTATACATCTTTTACATCATACCTTCTCTAGGTAAGACAGAAACTAAATGATGAAAACAGAAAAGATTGAAATCAAGAAAAGCAGCAACAGATGAAGTTATTTGTACAGGTTATTTAAAGGGAAAACTGAGGTAATTAATTGGTCTATAAGTTTTAAATCTATGATGCTATGACCCTACATAGAGGTACAGGTACAAATTTTAGTTTCTGAAGGGATACAATATTTCTAATCTGTACTTCAAAATTTAGCACTTAATTATGTAGCCTATTGTTCTCTAATTAGTTTAGGTATGTTATCTTGTCTCTCCAACTAAAATTGCCTCAAGAAGAGAAACTATGTCTTAAAATTTATACTGTATCTTCTATAGTAACTAGCACAGTTTTGAACACAAAAGAGGCACTCAATAAATGTTTCTTAGTGGCCAATATTAAATGAAAATATGCCCAGGTCTCTGACATAGGGCAGAAAAAACTCTCTTCCCTCCCCATACTTCCTCAAGGGCACACCCTAACACAATACTCACACGCCCCATTCAAGTCTGCTAAACAGCCTTCAGCCAGTCAAGTCGCATTCTTACAGCACAACTGCGGCAAAGGAATGCAAAGTGCCAAGCCTTCTCTTTGCCAACAGCCCAAATGACTTGGCAGACAGGTGCAGTTTCCAGGATCCACTTCCACAGCCTCCTGAAACAGCCTGACTTCGAAATACAGTCTAAGCAACAAAGTGAGGAATAGGGGAGCAGGCTCTGAAGGCCAGTATCCTATAGGCCATAAGGTGAAGAGAGCTTTTGTTACTTCTATCATACATTCTCTAGGTGTGTCAGAAACTAAAGGTTGTAAACAAGACAAGACAAAAATGAAAGCCATTCAGTTTAGCAACAAATGATGGAGAGAAACAGTTGTCAATTGCTTACCCTGAAGCTACAGGTCATGAAACAAGAAACTATTAGGGCAGGATAACCCTCCACATTGTGAGGAAAGAAAATGTCTTTCTTGCTACAGAACCCAAATAACTTGGGAAAAACAAGCAATTTTTATCTGCAACAAAGCAAAAAAAATTGTATTTTGCCGAACAATTCAAATGAGAAAGTGATTATATGTAAGATATAGATATATAATGCATAAATACATATACACACATATGAGATCATGACAATAATAGATGATGATACTGAACCTTATAAGTAGCATTGGAGGACATCCCAGAAAAGACAAAAAAAGATGTTTAAAAAAAATCTTCAGATACAGTAGAGTAACATAAACTGGAATTTTACCTTACAATAAAAATATTTTATCAATGGAAATGTAGGGAACATATTAAATGTTAAAAAACCTAGGAAGATGCTAAAAAGTTTAAAATAAATTAAAGTAAGAAGAGAATGGCATCATCTAATATTCATATTACAATTGAACATGCTGAATTTTGTTTCAAGTCAGAAAACTGTCAACAATTTGGAAAGAATTTTAGAACAATCTAAAGCATGAATGAAATAACAGGTTTGATTTAGAATATACATGCCTAAAACTATGTATTTTGGTTAAGGGCTGGAAGCATTTTAATTTTATAACTTTTAAAGGGACTACCTCTTTAAACACTCCCTCATCCTCTCTTCACTTTTGTTCAGTTATGTCCAACCATCCATGGGGTTTTCTTGGCAAAGATTCTGGAGAAGTTTGCCATTTCTTTCTCCAGAGGAGTAAGGCAAACAAGGGGTTAAGTGACTTGCCTAGGGTCACACAGCTAATAAATGTCTGAGCCTGGATTTGAACTCTAGGCCCCAGTGATCTATCCGCTACCATCTAGCTGCCCCACCCCCTTCACTTTACCTTTAAATATGTCTACTAGACCTTTATAGGATCTTCACAAATTTAAAGGTGGAAGGCAACATAAAATTCATCTAAAATAAATCTCTTAATCTTACAGATGAGGAAACTGAAGATGAGATGAAGTAATTTGTCCAGTGTCACACAGCTAGAAAGTGACAGAGCAAGGATTCAAGCTGAGGTCCGTGGATTCCAAATCTTGCCCTCTTTTCCCTGTTCTATACTTGACCCTCCCACCTCCTCAAGTTCTTTTCCTATTTTTCTCATCCCAGTCACTGCCAAACTCCTGAAAAAAGTAGTGGACACTCACTCAATGCTTCTGCTTCCTTACCAGTGACTCACTCTTTTAACCCATTTTATTCTGTTTTCCTTTACCACGACTCTAATGAAACCTATCTCTTTGAAGTCATTAATTGCCTTATCACCAAACTCAGTGGTCATTTTTCCATCCTCCTCCTTTTTCACTGTCTCCTCAGCATCTGACACTGACATCTAACCCTCTGCCCCACTCCTCCTTACCTTGTGACACTGTACTACTCTCAGGGTTCTTTTCCTCCTGTATAAGAAGTATTCCTATTCTCTTTCAAGCCTGGCCACTGCCTTCACGACTTTGTTCTTTTACTTATGCTTTCTCTGGGGTCTTTTCTCTCTATAGGGTCTTTGTCCTTTGCCTACAAACACAATTAGGGATATACTATTTTTAAATACACGTATTCCGTTGACCATTAGCCACCCTCCTCCAGCTACCATGTTATTTAACACAATGTAAGAACCAAAAGG